TTTGCAATCAAAGTGAATCCAAATGGTTCTGTAGCAAGACTTAAATCTCGACTGGTAGCAAAAGGTTATGCTCAGACTTATGGGGTTGACTATTTTAATACATTCTCTCCAATGGCCAAGCTTAACTCTATCCGTTTATGCATATCTATTGCAGCCTCCCAAGATTGGCCCCTTACACCAGCTGAATATTAAAAATGCATTTTTTCATGGTGATCTCTTAGAAGAAGTATAAATGAAGCAACCACTTGGCTTTGTTGCTCAGAATGAGTACAAAAAAGTTTGTCATTTAAAGAAATCTTTATATGATCTAAAGCAGAGTCTCCATACGTGGTTTGCCAAGTTTAATGAGGTAGTATGTGAGTTCGAATTGAAGAAGAGCAAGTATGATCATTCAATCTTTTATAAACAATCAACAACTGGTATTATACTTATTATTGTTTATGTTGATGATATTGTGATTACAGGAGATGACCATGCAGAAATATCCTCTCTCAAGTCATTCTTGTATACCAAGTTCAGTACCAAAGATTTGTGACAAGTCAAATACTTTTTAGGAGTTGAAGTAACAAAAAATAAGGGAGAGATTCTGTTATCTCAAAGAAAGTATGTACTTGATCTATTTGCAAAAATAGGAAAGCTAAGAGCTAAGCAATACAATACACCAATAGTACCAAATGCACATTTTACAAAAAATAATGGTGATCCCCTTAATGACCTAGAGAAATACAGATGACTAGTTGGGAAATTGAATTATCTCACTGTGACTCATCCAAATATAGCATACCATGTCAGTGTTGTTAGCCAGTTTATGTCAACAACTACAATCGAACATTGAAAGACTTTAGAACAGATTTTGTATTATTTAAAAAGTACTCTGGGACTCGGCATAGTGTTTAGAAATTATGAACATACTCACATCAAATGTTTTATTAATGTTGATTGGGTTGGATCTAAAATTGATAAGATATCTACTACGGGTTATTATATTTTTGTTGGTAGAAATCTCATATCATGAAAAAGTAAAAATCAAATAGTCGTATCTCGCTCAAGCGCAGAGTCTAAATATAGAGGTATAACACAGTTCACATGCGAACTCTTATTGATACATCATCTGTTACATGAAGTGGGCTTAAAGCCCACATCTCCTACAAAACTCTGGTGCGATAATCAGGTTGCTCTTCATATTGTCTCAAATCTTGTGTATCAGGAGAGAACCAAACATATTGAGATTGATTGTCACTTCATCCGAGAGAAAATTTAGAAAAATTTTATATCTATTGGTTATGTGAAGACAGGAGAACAACTTGGTGACATATTCACAAAACCTCTAAATAAAACACGAATTGAATATCTTCGGAACAAGTTGGTCATGATTAATATTTATGCTCCAACTTGAGGGGGAGTGTTAGAATACTATAGAATATTCCCTATACATAATAATAAGATTATCTTTCCAAATATGAAGCGTAATTAGGAAGAAAACAATTAGGGTAATTTATATTGGTTACTATATATGAATCCGTTTACATGTATATATATCACAACTTTCATTTCAATAAAAACATAACAATTAGTCAGTATTTTTTCCTTCCTATCCCTTTACAGTAACCTTGCGACTCAAGGTTCCTATGGGAATAGATGACATTTCTGACCTCCTTGTTGGGCTATGAACCATAGGATTTGCTACTATCTCTATCTCGTTATATAGGAATTAGGAGGTGACAATACACTAAGTTTTGACAGGTCCAATTGTAACAATGCTTTGGAGTTCTTCTATTAGAAAGCTCTAGAAGGATACTTATCATGTGTTATTGTATTTTTCTGTTTCATGTCCCTAAGAATATTTTTATTTTTATTTAAAAAACTAATATAAAATTACAAATGGGAATTTTATAAGAACTAAACGGGAATCAAACCAAATACAACCTAAGTTTCATCTCATGCAAGTTAAGAATGATGGTAAGTGTCAAGGTATGGTGAACCACTACCGAAATTGAAAAAGAAAAGGCAAAATAGTAACATATTTCATAGAAATCAGATGGAACTAAAAAATTTTAAGTATGTGGATCCAAGGGATGGACTCGCACCAAAGCAAAGACTTCGGTAACAAAAGTTTCAATCATGTAAAAATCATGTAAAAGTACAAAAATTGGGAATATGATGATAGCTACATCTCATACCAGAAATGTTGCACTACCGGCCACTTAGAACAGTTTGAAGAAACTTACCACAACTGAAGATAAAGAATGCCCTAAGCCAGAGAATAGAGTGCCAATACAGAGTGTAAGAAGCATGTATAGAATGAGACGAAGCCAATAGTATTTCCATTCCCTTGACATAATTAACAAAGATCTCCACGTAAGCACGGCAATTTGGGTAGCACAGCCAGCCTTTCCCTTGGATTTGAGAAGTGGGCCTTCCTATAGAGTGTGACAACAAAGCAAACAGAAGCTTTTATAGATCATATAGACCAACTAAATATTTTTCCAAAAGAAAAGACAAGGAGAAAGGACCGGGTTAGATATATGATTCAGAAAAATGCTTAATGGAAGACCAAATAAAATTGTTTATGTTTCTCAAAAGTACTGGTCAATCTTATTAAACTAAATTTTTTTTATTCCCGTGAAACATTAGCCAAGCCATTTCACCACAATATAGTTCTAAATCCTTAGCTATGCTAACCAAAAATGTCAAAAGAGAATAGTGAATTGCATAATGATTGAAAAAAAAGTGCCTTTACCTTCTCTGTGAGTTTTAGCATCAATGTTTCAACAGCAGCAGCATCTGCAGATGATTTATAAGTTGCCTCAAGAGTGCGAATTGCAACAGCAGTATCCATATTCACCGACGAAAAATCCCCATGGTCATCCTGTCATCATATTACATGCAAGTTGATTCAGAAAAATAAACTGTCGACAGCAGTATCTTGTCATCATATAAGAAATATTTCCCTTTTATTTTTTATTTTTTAGAAAAAGCTACTCTAATGAAAATAGTTTTGCCTTGACAAATAGGATTCTAATTGATATGTGCGTTAATGATACTACCAGGACATCATAGAAATCCAAAAAAGAACTAATATCCTAGATCAGTAAATGAACCATTTCCTACAGCTCATAGTACTTTAAAGCCATCCACTAATGGTAACATTTAGAATGATTTACCTGCCAATTTTTGCACATTACAATGATCCTATCAAAATCTGTATTTATGGCTCGTAAAAAGTGATCTGAAGGACTTTGCATGATTGGGCATGGAAATCCAGCGTTTGAAAAGTGCTTCATCAAACAAATATACACCCGTCAGTAATAACCACATTCAATCAACAAATGTTTTTATGTCCTATGACAATTCCAAATTTGCTTTCTTTTCTCAACTTTGTTAACCAAATGATGCATGACACACATAAATAATTTCTCTAATTCCAGAATGCTTAGAAGAAAACAAACAAAAAATAAAATTTACCAATCCTACAGTATCATTTACCTGCAAGCATGCCAATGTTTCCCCAAAAAATAGGGTGTTTCCATTTGAAAGCAGACAGATCCGATCAAAGAGGCCAAACACCTCTGTGCTGCTCTGGTAAATAGTGAATACAAGTGTGCATCCTGTACTCGCAAGTTTCTTCAAGGTAACCATCATCAAGAGGGCAGAGACACTGAAATTAAAATATTAACTTTAGCTACTACTGAGAGGACCAAATGTTTTTTAGCAGAAAAGTAATAACATATATAATTTCGCGACTGAAGTAATAGTCATATGTAAATATCACAAAAGGAAACACATGATAGTGAAATTTATTCATTTTTTCCAATTCCGATCCCAAAAGAACCTAGCAGCATTTTTTTCAAAATTTGATGGTCATTCCTGCCAGAGCATGAAAATTATTTTTTTAAGAAGTCCTTTCAGATGTTCTTTATTTGTATGAGATTTCTGCAACTGAATTTCCACTGCCATTCTGATGTACATACACATCTTGCATGTCCAAATAAAAGAATTGGCGAATCCTTTCTAAAACAGGAACAAGAATCTCAAGAATATTACTTGTTTACCATGTTCTCCACGTCTTTTCATATATATAGCACAAGTGCTTTACAAGACATTTCATCCTTCCCATCCAAACCACCAGCTTTTCTCGTACAATTTTACATGTGTTTGCATTAAACTAATCTCCAAGCTGATTGAAAAATCATACAGTTGGCACAACAGAGCAGACGAATGAGAAACTAACCTATCAAGATGATAAAGAGGCTCATCTATAAATACTATATGCGGCCTCATCACAAGTTCACGAGCAATGCTAACGCGCCTTCTCTCACCAGCAGGAAGGCCCTTCATATAACATTGGCCACCGATCAATTTGTTGCCGTAATCACCTAATGACATAGCATGTATAGCATCCTCTACTATACTTTTCTTCTGACAGAAGAAACCAGGAAGTTGGAGCAGTGCTGAATAGTACAGGAACTCCCGGACAGTGAGTGATTCAATCAGAGTAGTTTCCCTCTCAACAAATCCCTGAACATTGCAGATAATTCTAAGTCAAAAAACCACGTGTATGATATTGACCTTGTAATTAAATCATCATCAAGAGTCAGTGACTAGATAGCAACATGCTCAATCTAACTGAATAATGGAAAGAGCATAAATGTTTTCACAATCAATTGAGCAAACTTGAGCGACAGAGAACAACAAAAAGAAGAAGAACAACAGCAAGAACAAGCAAATAAATAAGGCAAACAAAAAAGGTAATTACACATCTCAATGACAAGAAACCTAAATGTTCGTCTCAAGCATATATAGCACAAGTGCCAAATGATTTTATTGTTTTCTGACTTTTTTTTTAGAGAAAAATAAACTATAAACAGGCACCAAAAGGCGGCCACCCATGAACAAAATAGGAATTCACAGCGCCATCAAAGTATTAACCAGATCACCCAGGTCCTCACCCCAGTAACAGGTGCCAGTACATATAAATATAGTCAAGAAATCTTTTTATGCAAGTAATCAAATAAATGATTCAGCCTCCTAAAAATAATGCATATACAAAAACAAACGATAACTCTGATAACCTCCCATAGACATATGGTAATAAAAATTAGTAGTATGGAAAGATATGAACTAAAAATCACATTGAAAAATAATAATATTATATGACATAAATATTCAACGAAGTAATAAAACTCACATATGATCCATAAGGCATGTGCGACTTTGCCCCATTCACAAACACTTCACCATATACTTTCGCCGGATGATGCAATCTCCCTAAATTTAGAACAAAGAGAATAGGCTTTACCTTCTAAGCATTCCAAGAGACATAAAGGGTAATGTAGCACAAAGATAATCAATTTCATAAAATTAAACCTGCAATTGCCCTTAACAGTGTGGATTTCCCTGATTTAGCAGGACCCATTATAACTGTCATTGTTCCTGGCAATGCATAGCCATTTGAACTTTTTACAACCTTGTCAGAATACTTCCTTTTCCCTTTTATGGTAACAGTCAGGTCTTTCCAGACAACCGAAGCCCCTGCAATCTTCCTCATAACAGCTCCACCCTCAGGTAATGGTGGAGATGGCAAGGACCGACTATTAAGCTTAGAAAGAGATGGTGATCTTGGGGTGGTCGCAGCATTGATAGAGTCACCTCCTTCCTCCACTCTAAAATCAACATTTGTTTCCTCCCAATCTGGTGAATCCTCAAATGAAATTGGTTGTCTAAGTGAACCAGGTCTTCGTAAGTAGAAAAAGTTACTAGATGGCACCCTGCTTGCAGGACTACTTGCTGATGATGATGAAGACCTATAATTATCTGATTGGGACTGTATTTCTTCCATTTATCTTATTCTGATTTCAGAACCTCAACTAATTGGGAAAAGAAAGCATTCTACAATAATTAAGAGAGTCCTCCTCAGTCTCTGATTCTGATAATCCTTAGCACTTACGCTCTCCAACAATCTGAATCATACATCAACATTGAAACACTGATCATCTGCATTAAAATCAAATAAATATGCAAGAAAAACGAACTAATTGAAGCTTTGACCAAGATCAAAAGATCACTTTCCTTCAAGTAGCTTCAACATTGTTAAAACATGAATATCTTCAATAAGCGTGAGAGAATCAAAACTGTAAACTTTGATATGGAAACTGTTTATCAAGAATAACAGTTTCAGGGGGAAAAAAAAACTTTATGGTGTTAAAGAACCAAGAAGGGAAAAAAAAAAGTAAGATGACAAGGAAACTTTGACAGAAAGCCTCAAAAAGATTTTTAAGATTTTTTTCTGAGAACACTTAAGAACAAATATAAGAATTCTGTTCACGTCAGAAAAATCAGCTGAATTTTTCACAGAAGGTTACATGTAAGCTAAGAACATTACCAACTTCCATGCTTTGTTAGCTTTAAAGAACTAAATTACATCCGAGACATGTTAAAAAATTAGTCCGAAGTACTATACTTCCAGATAATCTGGATTCTCGATACCCATTTTCCTGGTTGAGTATCCTAAGATTATTCAGAGACTTTAATGCTTAGATAAAAGGTATCTTTCCTTTGCCTCATAACATGATATCACAAACCAACACTTCAATCCACATTACCACCATTCGGATTATAGTAAAATGGCAATAGGTAATTGAACATTTTTAGTACCCAAATCAAACAGGACAACCCAGCTACCCAAAATTCATGTTTCCATAGAAGTTTAAGAAACAAATCTTTATCACCAATAGGCAAACACCTCCAAATGTTAAAAATAAACCCAGTCCCAAACAGAAACTAAGCATGTTGCTTTGCCATTTTCAGGAGAGAAGATTTGTGAGCAGATACTACTTATGCAAAGTCTCCGTAGAGTCCTAGACAGCTGCTCTTATGATGCACATTGTCCCACTTTTTGTGGTACTCTTCTCTTGAGTTTCTCAATATTAAATAGATTATTGGTAAGTGGTGGCGAGTGAATTGTGGCATGGTGAGGCGTCAAATCCAGTTAATAGGTATAAAGAAATCCAACCGGGTGAATATGGAGTATTTAATGCTCTTTAATTTTCTGTATCATTTATTGTGTGGAGGCATTGGGAATTTATACAAATGCAGGAGAGTAAAAGAAAAAGGGGGAAGGTGGTCTCTAGAATCTACTGAGACCACCATCTGTCCCCAACAGTAACCAATTTTAAAACAGAAAAAATATTGACCCTTCATTTTAGGGTTTTGATCTGGGCGATCCACCTGTCCATTTCTTTTCAGCCTTTTCCCTTTTTT